GTCTTATTCTTTTCTTAGAGAATGAAAAACGTCCTTCTAGCGAATTTGGAAAGGAAAAAAGAAGAAACCAAAAAGAGATTCCTCATACTTTTGGAAGCATCTAAGAATAGAATGCAGTTCTGAATGCCGTAATGAAATGATTCCCATTCCAAAGGCATTGGAATACATATATGTATCTGCTTGAACGATTAAATCTCATGATGATATAAACAGAGAAAAGCTTTGGCTAAGCAGCTTTTCCAGATTTTTCAGAATGATACTCTTACTAATCAGATTATGAATGCTTAGATTTCTGGGGAATCCCCATCCCCAGTGCCATAGTCATACCCGATGCGGTGACAGTGGATGTTGTCGGTTGGAGGTGGGCTCGCGGTAATAATCCGGTGATGAGCAGCAGCAGAAAGGAGCAGCCCAGGAAGCTGCTGCGTATTGGTCCCATGTTGGTTCTTTCGCGGCGTTTTTTGCTGGGGATCCCCTGCTGTATGGTAATATGATAATCTAGCCTAGCCTAAGTGCACGGCTGAATTATTAAATTAAATCGCTGTTTATTCCGGTTTGTTCTCGCGCGAACGTTGCCACTTTTGTCTCTGTTCGGAGAGTAATCGTAATTGTAATTATTTTAAATGCTATCAAGTGGTTGGCCAGCAAATATAACAGCCGCAAGAGGACCTCATCATCACCATCTTTATAATCATAATCATGGGGAATCCTCTGCAGGAGCAGCAGCAGCAGCAGCTCAAAAGTAGGCAACAGTTTTCCGATCAAAAACAAAATCAAAATTTATGTGCGTGAAAATTTAATTTCCATTTGAATTGGTTACGTTTGAATATTTATGTGCACTATAGTCGGTGATGTTTACATTGAATTTATGTGCAGTTCTTATTTGTGTGTTTTTTTTTATTTATTTAAATTCAGATGAGCTTTGTATGCAAACAAATAGAATATATATTATTTTTTTTTTTTTTAACGTTTCATTTATTTTCTATATCTTTATATATATTTAATTATTTAAAAGGATTTATTTCAATTATATTATATATATATATTTCTTTTTTATAATTTATACATTTTGCTTTTTATTTTCATCATCTCTTTTAAAAATTTGACTTTTTGAAATATTGTTGCAGATAATTTATAATATTTTCAGCATATAAGTATCTTTATTTCCTTCTTTCTTTCTGGTTGAATACTTAATTATATTTTATTTAATGCTCTCTTTATTTCCGGCGCGTGATTGAGATATTTCTTTGTTTGCACATTTTCATTCCTCATGTTTTATGCTTTAATTAAGCCGCGTTTTTTTCCTGTGTATTTTTTTTATGGATAATTATTAATGGGCTTGCTTTATCAGAAACTTTCCATAATCCTCATATGGAAAATGGTAAATGGTGTTTTAAAGCTGCCAGAGAAAGGGTCCGGCGAAAACCCCGTTGAGTATTTACATTTAATTGTAATTTTTGCACTTTGACATGTCAACGGGATTTATGGGTATTTTAAATGAAAATTGATAAATGTAATTAACAATTATAGCGGATTTATACACTCGAGGGACACTGCAGGACATCACAGGATAGGTGTGAACATTAACGGGGATTTGCTATGGCACTCCTCAAGTGGCAGAAACTATTGCCACTGCTGACTGGTGTTTGGTGTTTGGTGTCAAGTTCATGTAATCCAATCCAAAACAAAAGCCAAAAGTCCACACAAAATCAAATCCAAATTATGCCAGGCAGGCCATAAAGAGCACAGCTAAGAGAGACAGAGTGAAGAGCAGATGATTGCAGACAGAGCGGGACACTGGGAAACTGTAATCAAAAGCGACGCGCAGAAGCGTGAAAAAACCAAAAACGGTAAAGCCAAAACACACAGGAAAAGCTTCCGCTTTCGTGGCGGGGCGGGGCGGGGCGGAAGGGAAAGCTACTGCTGCTGCTGCTTGGATGCTGCCGCCTGTGCGACGCCAACAAAAACTGGTTTCAGTTTGTCTTCTAACGTTTGACTGCCAAAATTGGCCTTGCCATTGATTTTTGCTGGCCAACAACAGCTGTTTGGCTTGAAAATATATTTGATTTATTTGTTGAATAATTTTGCAAATATATTAGAATATTTTTTAATTAATTTTTAGATTTTTTTTTTTAAATTTACACTTGTCACTTTTGAGCGAATGTTTCTGTTTCTCATGCGATTTGGCTTGGTTCAAAATTATTTATTTTTGGCGCCTTGCGCGCTTTTTTTCTCGCAGTTATCCTGCCAGAAGCACACACACACGTCCTCTTCTGCACAGAGTTCGAAACTAACTGAATTCCGGCCAAGTGCCTTTGGTGGCATTCTGACAAGATGGAACCGACAGAAGCAGTCGCATCCACATACAACACTCTTTGGACAGCAGCATCCCCCGAGCTTGAAGCTTGCGCTCGGCATTTTGATAAGAGTTTCACTCAACTTTTGGCCCACACTCAAAGCCTATTTGCACTCGAAACGGAGTGAGTGCTACTGTGAGCCACTGAGTGAGTGATAGGGACTAGAGAGACTATGCTCAGAGGAAACCCCCATGTGCCATGTTATCTCCGGGTACAATTTGTGCGCAATTAGATTTCGATTTGTCAAAACAAATCAAAATCCCCAACTAAGCAAAGCGTCTAGTGTTAATGGGCTGCTTGCTCTTTATAATAATAATTAATCTCAAGTGCTAGAAGTGGCGACGCATACGTCTGTTTTTTATGTCGTGAATCGGACTAACAACAGAAATCTGATGATAAGGTTTGCTTGACCCAGTCTCTCGTCTCTCGACGACCCATCCATTAGATCCGTTCCGGCTATTTCTCTCCCCCCGATTGTGGGTCAAGTTTAAGCCGATTCTCCCTTACGACGCAATTCTCAAGAATTCCGTACAGTCTACAGTCCGTAGCTATTTTTTGCCCGCTTTCTGAGTCGCAATTGCTTAGCGCAATTTTCAATGCATTTTCTGTTGGAACTAAGCAAAAGATTAAAGTACTAGATAGTACTTCCGCAGAAGTACAGGGGTTTATTCCGTTTTCGAAAATTATGCCAGGCAATTCTTGGGAATCCGATATAGTGACACTTGTAAAAGTTATTTTTCAATAGAAAAATGTGATTTATATTAAATTATTTTGTAATTCGGAGAATTATTGGGTTACTGTTTAACAACTGTTCCTCGTTTCGCAATGCGGAAACTATGCAGACACTCAGCATACTATACGCACAAATTTTAGCTTCAATGATCTGTTAATATTTCTCTTATTTTGAGCCAAGTAATTCGCGAACCATCTCGTTTTGCGAAATCTTGATCTTAAAAACGAGATATGTTTGTTTGCAGAGCTTTCGACAATCGTCCAATTAATCAACTTCATTGAGCTCTTTTGTTTCGTTGAGCGCTTAAGTGGATGCCTTGAGTGTTTTATGATTTTGGAACAAGTTTATTGGCCAAGTCTGTGGTTTGCATGTGTGCGTGTGCTAGTACGAATTAGCCTGATGCAATGCTATAGCCAGATTGCACTTGACTGGCGCCTGCACTGGCCCCTAAATAAGACTCAGTCTTCAGCTTCAGCTCCAGCTTCAGCTTCGCTTGTTTGTTGGTAATTTAGCAAGCTTAAGTCCGCTTACGACTGCAGACACATGCCATTTATGTACATTTACTATACACGTTCGTATATGTAATTGAGGTACAGCTGAGTGCTGGGTGTCAAATGGATTCAACTGCGGGAAAATGTTTAAAGATTAAACCACACACCCATGTGCACAGAGTGGCCCAATATTTGCGACTGGCAGTGTTTTTCAGGCAGCCGCCCAAAAGCGGGCAATATTTGTGACTGGCAATGGGTTTCATGCGCCAGCCCAAAAGTAGGCAATGTTAAATTTGGGAAATCAACGAACCAGAGACTACCGGTAGCGGAGAACACACAGCGACTGGTCCGTGAACCAAACTTAAATTAAATACATGTACATGGGCTAATAGAAAGAACGCACACACTTAACAGCTACTAGCTAACACACGAACACAACAACAGATAGATGAGCTTAAAAATTAAATGAAAATAAATTTCCACAGCAGCAGTAACAGCACCAGAGTGCGGTCGTAGACAACCAGCGTCCAGGAGTCCAATGGGTCCAGGGGTTTTGGGGCACTGCCTACATGACACTAAATAAACAGCCAGTTGTTACTTACTCAACAACGAAGCCAAACAAATGGCAGAAACACCAAAACCAATACAAAAGCAAACAGCACCACCACCATCCAAAGAGAGATTATTGGATGGCAATGGGAGAGACTTGAAGTAAATGGTTAGTTCTGTGACATTTCTAAATTGAAAAACTACAAATGACTGACAACAGATTAGAGTGAGAGCGCCCTCACGTAGGATGTAGGCAACAGCTGCATCCTTAGTCGTAAATCCCCATCCAACGCTTGACTTTATAAGGTCCACCAGTGGGATTGAGAGTGGGGCACGGGCATGGCCAACACCTTGGCCATGGCCCCCACACACACAGAAAAACAGAAACAGCTACGGAAAAAATGGCGTTGGAAAAACTTTCTTTCAAAAAGCATCAGAAAATACATAGTAGAAAAACCCCAGAAAACGCCTGAAAATACAATTTGGGCGTTTTTTGTTCCTGCTTTTGCTGTTTGGGAGTAGCCGTAGCCTGCCTTTGAATTCTTTGAACTGTGAGGTCTGCTGTGCAGCCCTTGGATAGAATATTTGAATAAGACAACAGTTGAAGTGAAAGCCTAATCAAAGTAGAGACTGAGGGAGAAATCCGTGAAAGGCAAAGGGCCAAGCTCTATTGAATTTCGGTTTGTTTATTGATACGAATGCGAGTTTCTGGGCAGAGAACTTGCATACTAGTATCTACTAGTAATAGTATATATCTATAAAAAAAATAACTAATTTCTGGTTAGCCATTTCTGAGAAACAATCAATTTCAATAGTCTCGGAGATTCAGAGAATTCATGGCTGTAATTTTTAGGGGTTGCTTCGACTCACCTCTGAACTTGCACTGCTCCAGTCGCTCATCGCTGTGGTCCGGACAGTCGGAGTCGCCGTCGCACACGAATCTGATGGCTATACAGGCTCCACTGGCGCATTGGAATTGCTTCTCCTCGCAGTAGTTGGGTATGCTTTGAGCTGCAAAATCAAATGCATATTAATTAATTAAGTTGACATCTTTGGGTTAGCCGCACAGACTATAATTAAACACCCCACAGGGGATGCAAGATGGGTCCAAGGCGGCCCAAAGAGGCCAAGAGGCCGTTGGTTGGAGCCTAATAAAATTCATAACTAAAATTTAAGTTGAAAACTTTGGATCGTTAAGCACAAACATACATACACACACCACACACACACAGAGGGAGAGGGAGAGGAAGAGAAAGAGAAGGCGTTCTGTTGACAAGGTTTAAAACCCTTTTTAATGAAAGCCAAAACTTGACAATACACAAAAACTTGTAAATAATGAAAACCGAGTGAAGGGGCGAGGATTACATATGTATGGATGTCTCGGCCTCCTGGGCCGCCTTTCTGTGTCTTTTGTGGTGGACCGCAATGGGGTATACGAGGGGCAGAAACTTTTGGGGAAATTAATAAGCGAGAATTTGATGTGCGAAGTAGTTTCCCATTTTCCATTGCCATTGTCATTCCCATAGAATTCAAAGGGTTTCCAAAAGTGTTGGATTGCTTCATCAATCGTTTTATGGGCCACTTGACATTTCACTCACCCACTGTCCCACTTCCTCTAACCCTCTCCCTCCCTCTCAATCTGTTTGCCTATTTCTATGTCTCTTTCCCTCCGTCTGTCTCTCAATTAGCATACAATATGCTAAAACAAACTGACTTTCGGTTAATGTGCTGCGATTATGCCTAAAGTGTTCCAAGTTTGAGCTCCGTCGGAGAGCAGTGGTATGCAGTGTACGGGTGTATGGGAATAAGGTCTATCCATGTGACATTTTAGCATTTACCGTTTAATTGCGCACATTTAACTCAAATTGACAATTGCTTAGGCAGCCCGCACGGGGGCTCAGGCTCACCCCCAAACGAGACGCGCATGCATACGAGAGGCATTTAATTATACGATACTAACGTCGCCAGGGTATTCCGACTAGAAGATATGGATAAAGAATTCGAAAATACTCTAGAAATAACATTCAGAAATGCTTTAATCGACTTCTTTTCTCTTTAAAAGATTGCGAATCCAAATGCGTCTGCTGGACCAATATATCATCGATTTATTTGTAATTATTTAAACCAAGAGTCCCATTTTATAAAAACTGAGACAAGAATAGTGTCTCAGCCTTATCATTATTCTGGAGATATCCAAGGATAATTTTTGTAATTTATAATTTGAAATCAAATACTTCAAAAAGCAGATTCTTGTTGCTAATGAAGAAACCAAGATTAGTTCCCTCTCTCTTTCCCAGCGAAGCTTAGCACGAAATAGCTCCTTACGGCGTACACACGACAGCCCCTTGCCACCTACGATTACCACAGAGTACAATTCAGAGACATGTCAGGCATTGCCTTGGCCCTCTGCAGACAGACAAACACACATTTGATGCTCTCTTCATTATCATGGAAAATTCGGTGCATGCGAAGGCAAAATTTCGCTTCGTTTTCGATTAAATTTTTTAAATTTCTTTCTCCTCTCACCACTCTGCACTTTGCATTCTCTCTCTTAATGCATGCATGTGCATGTTTATTTACCTAGATGCTATATTCCACCTCCTGTGCTCCTGTGCGCTCCTCCTCCGCACTTCTATTTCATTCTCCTCTTTGAGCTGCAGATTTTTTATTAGTCCCCCCCCGTAAATTATTAAAAATGTGCGCAAACATTTTGCATTTATGAAAAAGAGCTTTGTTTGCTCCTTCTGATATGTACATATATTGGGAGGGGAATTCACATATGAGAATGTGGGCTTTATCTCAGAGAGATCAGATATTGCACTCTCATTGCTCGACAAATCTCTATATAAACGAATGTGAATGTAATTTGCATTTGAAGTGAGTCGTTTAGTCGCTTAATTGAGATAAATATTAAAATAAAATTCCCCATCAAATCTATTTGGCAAACCAATTTATACATTTTCATTTGCATTTTCTGGCAGACATCTTTTTTGACTCTGAAAATTGGTTAATGGTATATTTCCAAATTATTTTCTTTGATTTATTATTCCAATTAAATGTTTTCCTGAAAAAATGGTTTGGTATTTGTATCACATTGAATACATATTTAAGCACCTTTCGTAAAAAAATGATGATTGAAAGTTTTGGAGTATTTAGCTCTTAAAAAGACTAATAATAAGAGCAGTATAATTTAGTCTAAAGTTAGCCAAGTACATTTCATATTTTCGGAATCTACTAATCATTTATTAAAATTGTAATAATCAGATATTATCTGTTGCCAGCATCTTTAAAAGACATTTTCTCAATCCTCATTAGCAGTAAATGGAGAGCTTTCAGGTCTGGTTTTATGTAGAAACGCTACACTCTGTCTATTTCAAAAATCCTTTAGAATACATTACCTAATTACTCGTCATACAAAACATGTTTAAAGTTTATTGAATACTTTTCAATGTTTCTTTAGCTACTTTAAAAGGTTCACATGATTTCATTTAAACATATTTCTATTCGCAAAACATTTACCATCATCTTAAACCACATCAATAGTAACAACATTCCTTTGATGTTCCATATCATACGAGCATGCTGAACACACACTGCATTGTGCTTTGATTGGTGTATTCCCTATCGTCTTCATCATTTCCATTCCAAAGTATTCTTTTTTTCTACAGCTTTTCCCTCTGCCCGACATTTAATACAAATTAAATCAGTCGAGCAATAATTTGTGGTGTGGTTCGCACAGACCACAGGCACCACGGCCTCCGACAGCAGCAATAGCCGCCAATTTGATTGACAGAATCACCAATGCAGGCCAGAACAGAACCGAACCGAATTCGAGCAGAACAGGAGGCAACGGGCCAATTAAATGCTTAATGCGAAGTTCATTGAACAGTTTTACTTTACTTTATTCCGCCATCGCCCAGAAATCAATCACAGGGCCCGAGGCCATGGGCCTATGAGAAGAAAATGAAGCTGGTCAAGAGTATTTCACATGAAAATTTCGCACCATTAATTCAACGACAGAATGGGCATGTGGATGGGGATGACTGGGGATGGTGGTTAGCCAAGAGGGCGAAATAATAAACAGAAATCAGCGCAAAAGTCAATCAGAGTTCAAATCAATATAAATGCTTTATTAAAAGCCCGAAAGGTTGCCATAGTTGATTCCTTTCCCTTTGATTCGATTACAATCTCCTCCATATTTGATGATTAATCAATGAAGTGTTTTTGTAGTTACCTATTAACCATAATAGCCATGGAAAATTACGCAAATTAATATAAAATATTGCAAAGTTCGTACAGATAATGTGGGAAAAAGAAAACAACAAACAATATTGTGAGAACTTTGCACTTAACAGGCGTTCCGATATTTTTTGATAACAACATGATGCATTCCCTAAAGGGTGGTACTTCTCATGACTAACAAATATTTGTAGACTTTAGATATCAATTGAAGAGCCTCTCGAGATACCCCATAGCTCTGCGATAGCTTCAAGTTCTTGGCCAAGGATACGAGTACTTCTGGAAAGCTTCCATTTTCCATTTGTTTTCCATTTGTAAACTAAAGTAATTCAATATATTTATATATACATTTATTTGTTTAAGTATAGTTAAAAACCTCAACCAATCACTTATATTGGTGATTATCAAAAGGAACTCCAGCATTTGAATTGTTATTCCATCCCACGAAAGTGTCAAAGCCAAGTCATAGAAGCCAAACACTAGAGAAACTGTTTCCTATTTTCAACTCTCCGGTAGCTTTCTCTAGCTCTCTCTTTCCCAGAGTTGCTTAGCAGTCAAGGGTGAGTTTTCCTGACTACGACTTAATCTCTCCTCCAGAGCACAACGCGAGGGCTCCCTTTCTATCCAACGCTAACTCTATCCCAGTGAGACCTGTATTCAACCCATCGTAATTTAAGTGAATATGAATATAGAGAAACTATTCTACTGTTTCTCTGTAACCTATCAATCTGCGTAGTTTCTGCTTATCTGATTCTTCAATTAAAACGTAATGCCTGTGTATATGGTATACAGTAGTCGAGGCTCAGCTGATTTTGTTTTTCTTTTTGGTTAGCGCCTCGTGGGCCACTTTAGATAATACAGATAGTTGGCTTCCAGTAAAGCCAATAAACATTATCAGTAATACGAGTGCTACGATATCAAGGCTACGTAGTGCTTTGTTTAATGCATAGTTTTGAAGTAGATTTTGGCTTAGTCATAAATATTTCGCTATAATATGCGGAAGAGTGGATTTGCTTATCAAAATGTGACATTGAAATTAAGAACATGTTGCTGCCTTAATTTTTTTTAGATATTTTGCAGATCTACTAGCATTTTTCTTCTCATTTTGGTCAAGGTTTTCACACCCATATTATGTATGTAATCATACCGCAGTTTTATCTAGCAAAAAAAAATTATAATAATTTCGTGCGATAAAAATGTTTCTGTAGATAAAATGCCTTTTGCAATTACGATAAGGAACACAAAAAAATCAACAAATAATTGTATAATCATGTGAACATTGCGCTTTGAACCGAGTGTTTGCTTGGATACGAGAATTCGTTGAGACTCGTTTAAGGGGAACACGCTTAGTCGTTCGCTCAAATTATTATCAAGACCCAATTCGATGCGGCTCTTTGGGAGTTAATTGCATGGAAGTTTGTTTAAGAGCGTAGCTTTGAAACAAGTTGCTCTTAGGCTGTTGTAAGAGTGTCGAATAGATTCGGTACACGTTTGGCTTGTCGGCACTTATGTGGAAAAAAGTGGCCTGATCGGTAACGTCATACCATTAACAATGAAATAAACAACAACAACAGCCCGATATATTCACACATGTTTGTGGATGTTGTTTGGTAGGCGTCACGCGAATCCACAGATGACTCAGTTGCGGGTATGTATGTATGTACTTGTTGCCAATAATCGATGACGAGTATACCCCTTGCAAGGCCTTTTAGAAGGTACTTATTATAATTTAAGTCCAATGAAGGCGAGAAAAACATTATGTACCTGTTCCACTATTCTGGAGCTTTATTGGAACCAGAAATGTATATCGTATTGTAGTCATCACTTGTTTTCCAACTGTGGGAGACGCATTCGTAGTTCCAATTACTCATAAAAATACTATCAGAGTTGCGGGTATCCCAGCGTGGGATAACGTACCCACTCGTACGTGTCATTATTTTTCGCTTGTCACTTCATTGAGAAATCTATATAGGAAAACGTCATCATCAGTCAGTCATTTGTTTAGCTTGTATTATGCATATGGCTTCCTCAAACCAAACGAATTTCTAATGAAATTCTACGGCGTCTGTGGAGTGTACGGGTGTATTGGGGGGGCCTGTGTGCAAGTCTAATTTGCTAGCCAACAAATCACGCCACCTCTGATGAATATTTGTATTTGCAATTAAATTTTGGCTCGTGCACTGCATTTGCACAACGCAGCACATCGCGGCGTATGCGTAATATTTTAATTGTGACCCGAAATAGAAAAAACTAATTTACAATTGAAAAACAAGTTCTGAGTTGAAGAAAGTGGAAACCGAAGGTTGGCCACCATACCTGCCACAGAGCCTCACATTAGTCTCTCTCTCTGTCTCTCTCTCTCTATCTGTCTCTCTCTTAGCATTGTTAGCATAAAGTAATCAAACAAATGAATCCCTTTGACTGTATTTTGCATGTATCGCTTATGAAATTTGTCACTTGAACACAAAGACAAACCACGAACACTGAACACTGAACACTGAACACCGAACACGAGCCTGAACAATTGCAACGAACTGTTGTTGGTGTGACACTTATTTGGCTTCCATCATTTGCTGAAAGTGGCATTTGCCTGGGAACCAGTTTTCTTCATTTTTTTGTTTGTAAAAAAAAGCAACAAAAACGAAGAAAGATTTTACCTCATAATTATACATAATGAAAAATGCTTTTATAATTAATGCCCATGACCATTTTTGTATCTGGACCTTTGAGTCCAGAGCACGTTCAAATTCCAAGCATAATTAGCCAAGTTAATTATAAAAGTCTGGACTTAAAACAGAAGCCCTTGTCGACGGAGCAAACTTGTTTCAATTCAAAATGTTTCAGGACCTGATCTGGTTCTGGCCTCAGGGGGGATGCTGCTTCGTTGCTGCTGAGGTTTGGGGCACAGGTACAGTCATTAAGCTGTCAAGGATGTGCCCCGAACATGTCAATTGTCCCATCCTTCTCACACTGCCTTTTTCCCTCTCTCTCTGTGCGAATTTCTATTTGGTTTACTCTAAAATTTAGCTGGGGACAATTACTTGGTGTCTTCGGATGTCATTTTGCGACCTATATCCATCGATTAAAGCCTGTCTAACCAATCAATTGTCACCTGAGCTCCAGTATTTTCCTAGCCTTTAATGCAACTCTACGGGATGTTCATTGCCTAGAGAACTACATCGAAAATACATTTCGAGTTCGTTATCTTTGTGGCTGAGACTATATATTGATTACGGAGGCTAAGCCGAACACCACAAATCCCCGAGAGATAGTAGCACAAGTGTTATGAAATAGTCGATAGATGAACAAGATACAAACTTTAAAGCAAGCATTTTTAACCTTTAAGCTTTGATTTTTATCATGACCCAGCATTTACTCATTTACGTTTTTTAACTTTGACATTCGTGTTGGGCCAGACCATAATCGTTTATATGTGTGTCTTCTTTTTTTTTGCCAAGTTGAAGGTTTTGTTTTAACTTTTTGAAAACCTAAATAATTAAGTCTTTCGTTTTGTGATTCCCCTACGTACAACACATCTGTTTTTCAAGTTTCATGCAAAGTATTTCCTTATTTTGTTGATTAATCTGAAGTTTCGATTATTTACCAACGATTCTTTTGCTTGGTGACCTCATAAATGCATATCTTCCATTAATCTTGAGTTTCCTTTCCTTCAAGAGCTATTTCCTTAAGAAAAAATCAATTGAAGTAGTTGGAATATCTTGGATTCATTTCTGTGTCAAGCTTAAATCAAGTATTTCCTAAGAATAACTATAAGAAGTATTAAAGTAGTTAACGCTACTTGAGGTTAGCAATGGTTCCATTTAGTAAAGTTTATAATCAAGTTATTCTTAAGAAAGAAATATGACAACTAGTCATAGTTCAAGTAGCTTGCGATTAACGTTGAATTCAATTTATAGATCGCTAGCTAAGTCTTTACGGGAACGACTCTCTAGCTATCCTCGTACATATGTACATATGTATATTATCTACACACAAGAAAACTCGATCTTTGATATCGATTCTTGGTTTGATTAACCCACATCTACATACATATGTACCGTAAGCCGTACTTCTACCATACATTTGCTAAAAATGATTTATCATCTTATACACATGTGGGTGTCGCATACTCGTCCCACTGTGCCAAGCCACGAAACTCCAACAAAGCGAACGGGCAGGCAAGCAGACACTTGTTGCTCTTTTTTCTGCCTTCGCTTATGTTCTCATCTCTGTGTTCCTCTCCCTCTCTCTCTCTCTCGCTGTTGGTTTTTACAAGAGCCGCCGGAGTTGAAGTCTTTTTAGTGGCGCTCGCCCGCTCCATTCGCTGCATGAAACGACGCCGGCCGGTATAAAGCATAAAACGGAATAATTACAAAAGCAGAAAGAACCGCGCAGAAAGAGCGGATCGATGGAAAAGGCAAGAGCAGAGGAAAGTAAAAGGCTGCTGGATGGAAGCATGGAAAGAGAGAAGCTGGGGAGTTGGAAGCTGGAGCTAAAAGAGCCAGAGTCTGAAAATCGTATGATTTCGTGGAATGTCTGTAGCAGCAACAACAGGGAAATGGCAGTGGAGTAGTTGACTGGCATCGCCAGACGCCTTGGCTTTCGGTTCGCCACAAAATTCACATAAATAAATAAAAACTTGAGCCGCCTCAACCGAGGAGAGACGGCTCTCAGACTCTCGAAGCTAGGAGTCGGAGTCGAGAGGTGGAGTCAAGACACGAGGCCGGTGGCATGATCAACTGAAACACGAGAGTCAGCGGCGGCGGCAACAACAATAAACACACTTTTGGGGTACCCATGCACTTGGAGAAAAGAAGATCAGATAAAGCCAAGAATAAAGGGAGAGACATTTTTCACTAATTAAGATTATAAACGGTACAAGGGAGGGAGAGAGAGAGTGTGAGAGTTTTTACCTAAACAGATCATTGAATTACCTCTATAATCAGAACGAATTTTTAAGGAATAATAAAAAATTTAACGCACTCTCCGTATAATGATCAGCCAACTAGCAGAAAAAAAATATAGCAGTATAGTAAACTTCCTTAAGTATTCCACTTTTCACCTTTACTATTCCAAGATACAATCCATAGGCGCATATCAAACTCACTCTTAAGCCTAATTAGTAATAACAATTCATACTCACATATATCCAATGGGGTTCCAATTTTCCCGGAAACATTTAGAAACTTGAACGGATTTCCATTGAATACCGAATTGAAAGAGTTGCCAAAATTGGCCATTCCAATACCGGGACTCAGACTGTTTGCTGCCGCTGGGGCCAAGTGCTTTAGTCGATCCAGTGGTGGCCCCAATGTGCTGGAGCGCCTAATCTTCTCCAGGAGCGCCGATCCGCTTAGATTCTGCATTATCTCGCTGGGACTGGGTGTGGAGGCTGTAGCCTGGGCGGCGTTCATGGCGGCGGCATTGCAGAACTTACTGATGCTCAAAATGCAGGTGATGGAGAGCAGGTGGAACGAGGAGGTGAAGCTGAAGCTGATCAGCTGTTGGACCCAGCTCTGGTAGTTGGTGCTTCGGCTGAAGAAGAACGCACTGGTCACGGCCTTGGTGGTAGCCGCCGACGGCGACGGCTCATGACATGTGTGGATGTTTTTGCAGGCAGTATCACCATTCTCATTCTCGTTTGCGAATGTTTCTTCAGTTTGAAAGCGTTCTGTATAATTGGGAAGGCAAACTGTGGCCATCTCTATTTTAACTGTAAAAATATATACAAATTCAGGTCAAACACACTTTTCACACAAATTTCCTATTTCCTCCCTATCTATACGGATACGAGTATTATGAAATAATATGTTCTCGAAAAATGCGAAACGTTTGCCAAAAAATGTCCACAAGACGGAAAGATAGAGAGAGAGAGAGAGAGAGAGACAAAAAGAGGAGGAGAGAAACCCACAGAATGTGTTCGCAAAATGTATCGAAAAAGAGAGTGCGAAGCAAACGCACGATAAACATGCCAAAAAAGCCACGACTAAAAAAAGAAACATCATACGATGTTGGAAATAACAGGCGTAAGAGAAACATACATAAAACACAAAGCATTTTCACTGGGGAATTGTGCAAACTAAAGGGCGACGACTTGGTTTCGATGGACCGAGGGTTATTCAAGTAGAACGGGCCAAGGGTTAAGCTCCCCGCCTGTCTCTCACTATCTCTATCTCTCTTTTGGGCCGTGTCATGCTGTTGTGGGTCTTTTAAAAAAATATGAATCATATAGTTTCAGGCAAATAATTTTCGTTTATCAGCTTATCAACGTTGTAAGCGATGATAGCTCCTCAGGTGGTTAAGCTCTTAAGCGGTCATGTGAAGCCAGCCGCTTAAAAGTGGGGCTCTGTAATTCATAACTTTCTCGAAAACTGTTCTCTTTGTTTTTTGGCAAATGTTTTCCCTCATGTGCTATGGAAATTTATGTCGCTATGCATTCGGATATGTTCACATGATGGATTGACGTAACAGGCGGCTAAAATAGATTCGTACATTATCTTTAAATTAACACTTTTGACTGGGAGTTGCACAATGTGGAATTGGTTTTGACTCTGTTCTCAATCAAAATTTATTCGTTATTTGCTGTGAACTTTTGCTTTTGGCCTAAACTTAATTCGCGTACGAAAATGTGTACGACAGAGCGATTAACCGTTAAATAATATGCGATACAGTGGAAAAGACGACAGTGCGGCACGCCCGACAAAAAACGACTAGAAAACTGAGAGAATATCGAGGCCGTTCCAACCTCGGAATGAATGTGCTCGGTCGTCGCAGAGGAATTGGCCCCACTGTGCATCGTGACAAACCGACGATCGCCACGCGTCCAAGCCGAACGAACCGAACACACCTGAGCGGTGTGATAAAGAGACAGTGAGAGAGAGAGAGAGAGAGCACGCACAGAGAGATACCGATATCACATGTGTAAAGTGTAGTTTCGACAGTGGGCTCAGTGGGCTCGTCCAAACGGTGAGACGCTCTCTTTGAAGTCGCTTATTCGAATTCGTATTCGACGGCGTAGAGCACGTACTGAAGAGAACGGCAAACCAAATATGCTACCGCAAGAGTGGGATACCCCCAATCAATAGTCATGGTAGGCAGTGCTTAAGAGAAAAGTCGCCAAGCGGTAGCCTAAAAGAGAGCGGTACACAACACAGCTGACATTGAAAATATGGTATGGTATTGGTGATGGCAGCGAGCAGGTGGTTCTTGTAAAGGTTTCTTTTAATGATAAAATATCTCTCTTCACGCAACATCCATCAATTGGGGGAAAAATTTGTATGTTACGCTTTGAGGTGTGTTCTACTACACAATTTGTCGGTCTAGTCAATTACCGCGATGGGCAATTTGTAAAATTATAAGAATAAATTTTTTGTTGGCGTAGGTCAGAGACCCGCGTCCGCGGGGCCTTGATATAACCACTAATTGATTGGATGTTAAGTAAGAATTTAGTATAAATTTAATTGCCAATAGTCCATATAGTGGTTCTATGGTCTGAGGTCTGACCTACCTCAAGTTCATTTGTTTGGTTCAACTTTTTCCTCAAGATATTTGTTCTTATTTGTATAGAGATCGTTCACATAGTGGTCCATAAAGATCTCAAATAGATCCTAATGAAAGCATTTTTCTCGGTAAGTCTTTTAGTGGAAATTGACTGATTTGGATAAATCAGAACCTACCATATTCCCCAGAAGCCTCAGCTGAAAGATAAACCCACCCGCGAAAAGAGAAACACCAATTTTATACTACACATAAGTATGTCTGAGTTTATTATGTATCATCTTGTATCTTTTAGTGGGGGAAACATATACATATGTATGTATTCTGTATGTACACTTAACAAATACAGTTAACAAAAGGTTAATACGTAAATAGTAATAATAGTGATAATAAAACGATTCTGCTCATCGAACACACAGAAATATAATTTCTCAACGCGCTCTAATAGTACTAGATCATGATCACTACGACCACAATCGTCATATGTATATATATGTATATTTATATATATAGTAATATTAATTGGTTTGCTTCTTTTAAAAATAATGCACACTTACAGCTATATACAGTTTGGAACTATTTATGTAATTTATAATTATCAATTAGATTTCTTATTAAACATCTCAATTTTTGTTTTATTTAGACTGTGTGTGTGTGTGTGTTTTACTCTTGTGATAGAACTCTGCGACATAGTATTTCTGTACAGCATCCTCTTAGGATGCGCCTCCCTCCAAGTGACCCGCCGTGTCCTTGCCGTGCCTTAAAATGTTAAAATAATTAATTTACACAATACACAGAGTTGCTCAGTCTTCAGGCGTGTGTCTTCTGCGGGTCCGCTTCTTATTCTCGTGTCTGCTTTGGTCGTATCTTAAAAACCAACCAAACGAAGGAAAAACCTATCATTCTCCGTTCTAATACGAGGATATGCCTATAACGGGTGAGTACTATAAGGAATACATAAAAATAAACAAATTAAAAAAGGAATAATTTTGAAATACGAGTAACAATTCTATATTTTTAGATCTATGTTGTAGTAAAACAAAATTAAAGTATAGCACGTACCTCCTCATCCATGACACTGGTATGATCGTAGATGCGCGCTGGCAAATTCTTGCGCAAACTGAAATGATCCTCTGTGGTCGTGGTCTTTCGGTAAATGGGATTCTCAAAGTTCATCGAGTTGATGCGTCGCTTGCTGCAGTAGCGATAGCCAATGAGCAGGAGCTGTCAATGCACCAAAAATTGTCATTAAAGGTCCCTCCATCAAGGACTCTTTCCGCCTCGACTTACCACTGATAGCAGGACTGCAAAGCCACTGAGACTGGCGATGACCACCAGCGCTATGAAGCCCGAATCCGGTTGCGGACTGGGCGCTGTGGTCTTTTCGATTTGTGTTTGGTTTTTCACTGGACGCTGCTCGGCAACTGTGGATGCAGATGTTTGAATTTTTAATTAGAAATTAGAAATTATAAGAAAATAAGCAGAGAAAATGTAGCCATAAACCGAAAACATAAACATATCAAGAAGCTTTAAGAGTAGGTAAATTATAGGTACATTTTATTTTGTACATTTTTGAAAGATACACATGTGCTATTATATAGTGCCGTATTAAATTTTTTCAGCGGCTTGCCACCAACCCACCACAATGACAAGGCTTAAATGCCCCTTCACCTTCGGCAATGATAAACAAAAAAGAAAAAGGGAATGTATAAGAGCTAAAGGAAAACGGAAATCATTGCAATAAAAGAGCAGAATGAAAGAGGGAATCAACATCAAAATCCAAGCGGCTTTCGGGCCAAGTCTCCCTCTCAGAGATCCAAAAGAATTTTCAATCAAATCGTTCAAAGTGCGCATTTAGGCGCAAATAAACACTTAAACGCTCTCGCGCCTTTGATGGCGCAAACTTTTATGGGGCGGGATGGGGCTGAGACCGATTTAGATTGAGACTGAGAATGGGAATGGAAATGGCAATGGCAGTGGCCTGGGAATGGGGAGAAAGACAGCAGCGTAATGACATCGTTAACGCGACGCATTTAATGGGATTTTGTCAGCCATTCGGACGGAGCAGGAGGCAGCTTCTAGTCCTAGCCGCGCTTAAATCAAGTCGAAACAGTAAAAGTTATCAACATTAAGTTGAAGTTCCCTTTAAGGCCCAGACCTCACCCCCCTACACCCATCCACCAATATTAACCTCATACTTTGCGGTTAGGTATTGTGTGGTGTCTGGTGGTGGTCGGTGGTTCGGTGGGTGGGTGGGTGTATTGGGTGATTGGATGCTGGGCTTATGACGGGGTTCTCTGTTGGAGGTTTCAATTGCATCGTTGGCCCATTGGCTGCCTACTTGCGGTGAGGGCTGTGCTCCGATGCAAGCGGCCCTCTTCTCGGATGGCGTTTATGAAACTGTCAAGGATGGGGAGGTTGGTCTCTCCCTCTGATGATGATTAATGTGGGCCATGACAAAGCAAATGTAGTTGGTTGCACCCCGAGCCGGGGAAGCGGGTGCGTTTCCTGGCCAGAAAGGGATTTTGAGTGCGACTGCTGGGTAGCATTTTGATTAATACGCTTGCAATAAATCTGAATCTCACGAAAGTGTTTATAAACCGTCAAAGAGACATAACCTCCGAGAGAGGAGAAGAGGGCCACTGACTGACGGACTGAGAGAGAGAGATGTTGAACTTATAAATTGAGAGGAAGTAACAGGGTTGTCAACCCATAACACTATCAAAGTTTCCTCTCCCTTTGAGGCAAATTAATCAAAATTTCCTGTGACAACATTTCTGATGAAGTTTTCCTCTGCGTTATTTCGAATTTTCAACTGGAACGAACATAGATGGTTGAGGGATAGTCACATAAAGCTGGATATATTTCCCAAATTTGCCTGGAGTGAATATTTGAATATGATGCTGAAAGAGCATATGCGGGGAAGGCAAGAGCAAGTGAAACGATTTTGCGATTACGAGAATACATTTGGAAAGAGACTTTCAGATGTACGAGGCAATTTCACAGACAATTAACCAACACTAAATAGAGTGGCCAGATATTCCAACAATTTCCACAGGACAGTTGCTAAAATTACTCCTTTTCTATGATTACTAATTTCACACAACAAAATACAACACAGACAAACATAAAAAGTGAAATTTAAAGACAATTTGTAAACCATTTCGGATGAAAGGTGGAAAACCCCGAAACAGAGTATCCGTTCAAGCTCGGACC